GATGGGCTACAATCTCAATACAAATTAGTAAACTAAACATGAGATTGTAGTCCATCCCGGGAGTGAGCTTGGAGCGGTGACTACTTTACAACACACACGGGGACCATGGGGAACATAAGTAGCCCCCCTCCAGAAGGAAGGACAGTGTCAGCACCAATTCAGAGATGATTGGAGGATCTACAGCCGAGTGATACACCAATAAGATACATTTTTGTTAATAGTTGAGGTACTGGAATGCATTCTCAATATATTAATATTTCACAACTTTTTATCTGGTCAGTAGATGAACCACTTGGCTTGTTTTATCATCAAAACCCATCCTTTATCCAATGGCTCAGTTTGAGGTTTCAATCAGACAGTTGGTGCCTCAAAGCAAGCTTCATCTGAGCTACCCCATGGTGCTCTGGTAAGCCTTTGTCATTTATTACATGTTTATTTTAGTGTGTGTGTGTGTGTATATATATATATATATATGTAAAAAATGTAACATACATCTGACCCCAAACCAATCTATACAATATTGAGACACGTCACTTTTTTTTTTTTTTTTTTAGGCTGCCACACTCACCTCCTTGTGATCCTTATTAAGGTGGGCCAGCTCTTCCCTCAGTCCATCCACCTCAGACTCCAGCTTCATCCGTAGGAAATTGGTGTCATCGATCATCTTTCGGAGGCCCTGCGTGTCCTTCTGCACCCCATCACATATGGCTTGTTCTGCCTCCAACCTGCAATCAGACAGCACTGATGTATCCACACAATGGGGGTTTCATGGGGATCTATGCTATGTATGACAGGGGTGATACATATCAGATTTGACCACAAGGGGGCGCTGTAATGGAGTCTGTATACTTATATGAATTGGGAGCTGTGATAGGAACCAGGACAGCACCCTAATAATGGTATAATGGGGGTCACAAACAATTATAAGTATTCACATTCAAAATGGGCAGAGGGAATATATTTTGTACAGTTACATAATACCCACTTTACTTTAAAGTCGTCCGCTGCCAATCTGGCATTGTCAATCTGCAAGAGGATCTTAGCGTTGTCCATGTTCAGATCTTCAACCTACAGATAAAGGAAGCATTGATTAAAGAGAACCTGTCACAACCGAGTTTATGTAATATTTACTGATAATTGCGGTAAAGGTTTTTTTTCGCCCCGCTCAGCTAGATTCCTTTACTTTGAGGACGACTCTGAGACTGAGAGGTCCCATGAGCCTCACCAACTGCCTGACCTTGTGAGAAATCTAATGCGGTCTCCTGACGCCTGAGTGTACATAACAATGTCCAACAACAGAACCTTGCAGTCCAGAGGAAATAAACAGCCATTGTGTTGTGTGATACTGTTTTAGACACTCAGGAGCTGAGAGACAGCATGAGTTATTGGCAAGAGGTGTCGGACAGTTGATTGGGCGATGACTATCTGACCTTATGGAGCCTCCCAGAGTTATAGTCACCCCTGAGAAAGTAAGTAAAGAGGAGCTTCTTTTTTGAAAATTCACGGTTGGCTATAATGGCCGTACCTCAAGCAACCCGCCCAACCTTCCAAAAACTCCCCACCATATACTTGGAGCACCCATTGGCCTTTTACCAAACCTTTGCCTTACCCTAAAGTCAGTTTGTAACCCCTTTATGAACGTTGGATTGTGTGGATTCTGGTGGACCAAGGCAAAATGAGACTCTTGAACCAGTCATCGGTGACTCCAGCAGCAAACTATATACTGAGTGACCTAGGGTTGAGTTACCTATGGCTGAGTGACCTAGGGGTGAGTGACCCATGGCTGAGTGACCTGGGGCTGAGTGACCCATGGCTGAGTGACCTGGGGCTGAGTGACCCATGGCTGAGTGACCTACGGCTAAGTGACCTTAAGGTGGGCCAGCTCTTCCCTCAGTCCATCCACCTCAGACTCCAGCTTCATCCGTAGGAAATTGGTGTCATCGATCATCTTTCGGAGGCCCTGCGTGTCCTTCTGCACCCCATCACATATGGCTTGTTCTGCCTCCAACCTGCAATCAGACAGCACTGATGTATCCACACAATGGGGGTTTCATGGGGATCTATGCTATGTATGACAGGGGTGATACATATCAGATTTGACCACAAGGGGGCGCTGTAATGGAGTCTGTATACTTATATGAATTGGGAGCTGTGATAGGAACCAGGACAGCACCCTAATAATGGTATAATGGGGGTCACAAACAATTATAAGTATTCACATTCAAAATGGGCAGAGGGAATATATTTTGTACAGTTACATAATACCCACTTTACTTTAAAGTCGTCCGCTGCCAATCTGGCATTGTCAATCTGCAAGAGGATCTTAGCGTTGTCCATGTTCAGATCTTCAACCTACAGATAAAGGAAGCATTGATTAAAGAGAACCTGTCACAACCGAGTTTATGTAATATTTACTGATAATTGCGGTAAAGGTTTTTTTTCGCCCCGCTCAGCTAGATTCCTTTACTTTGAGGACGACTCTGAGACTGAGAGGTCCCATGAGCCTCACCAACTGCCTGACCTTGTGAGAAATCTAATGCGGTCTCCTGACGCCTGAGTGTACATAACAATGTCCAACAACAGAACCTTGCAGTCCAGAGGAAATAAACAGCCATTGTGTTGTGTGATACTGTTTTAGACACTCAGGAGCTGAGAGACAGCATGAGTTATTGGCAAGAGGTGTCGGACAGTTGATTGGGCGATGACTATCTGACCTTATGGAGCCTCCCAGAGTTATAGTCACCCCTGAGAAAGTAAGTAAAGAGGAGCTTCTTTTTTGAAAATTCACGGTTGGCTATAATGGCCGTACCTCAAGCAACCCGCCCAACCTTCCAAAAACTCCCCACCATATACTTGGAGCACCCATTGGCCTTTTACCAAACCTTTGCCTTACCCTAAAGTCAGTTTGTAACCCCTTTATGAACGTTGGATTGTGTGGATTCTGGTGGACCAAGGCAAAATGAGACTCTTGAACCAGTCATCGGTGACTCCAGCAGCAAACTATATACTGAGTGACCTAGGGTTGAGTTACCTATGGCTGAGTGACCTAGGGGTGAGTGACCCATGGCTGAGTGACCTGGGGCTGAGTGACCCATGGCTGAGTGACCTGGGGCTGAGTGACCCATGGCTGAGTGACCTACGGCTAAGTGACCTGCGGCTGAGTGACCTACGGCTGAGTGACCTGCAGCTGAGTGACCTACGGCTGAGTGACCTGCGGCTGAGTGACCTACGGCTGAATGACCTACGGATGAATGACTTACGGATGAGTGACCTGCAGCTGAGTGACCTACGGCTGAATGACTTATGGATGAGTGACCTAGGGCTGAATGACCTACGGCTGAGTGACTTACGGCTGAGTGACCTGCAGCTGAGTGACCTGCAGCTGAGTGACCTGCAGCTGAGTGACCTACGGCTGAATGACCTAGGGCTGAGTGACCTAGGGCTGAGTCACCTATGGCTGAGTGACCCACTGCTGAGTGACCTAGGGCTGAGTGACCCACGGCTGAGTGACCCACTGCTGAGTGACCTACGGCTGAGTGACCCGCGGCTGAGTGACCTATGGTCGCCTTTCATATAATCGCAGCCCCATCCGGTCACCCTCTATGCTCAGAAGAAAAAGTGTCACATCCTCTAGTTCTCTTTCCACCCCTCAGCTGAATATAAACTTTGTTCCTGTCGCAGCTTCTGTTTAGATCTGCCAAAGATGGCGGGTCGGGTTTGCTTTGCCAAGAGATGTGGGAAGACCCGGAGCTTCTCTACACGACAGAATTGTTCTTTTATTGTTGGAGAAGTGACCGCGATTGGCTGAGCAACTCAAAGGAAGAAGCCGCACGCTGCAATCCACCGGCAACAACAGATGTTTACTCCATGAGGCTAAGAACTGCCAGTACACCGTGACTCTCCACCTAGAAGATGCCCCACTAACGCATTTTGTCCCTTTAGGGCTTCATCACAAGGATGCTGGCGGTTCAGGTAAATGAGTCGCACGTTACCCTCATCTCTACACTCATTTTCATTTTCCTTTTATTTAGGAGGATGCAACAGAAAGAGTGGGAACACCCCAAGGTGGGTGGGAATGCCCAAAACTCTACACTGAGGAAGAGCCCAAAGCTTTTGCAGGGAGGTCCCCAGGCAATATAAGAAGCCCATGAGTTACTCTGCCCGGTAGGCTCCACCTGTAACTGCAGTACCAATGTTGCTTGGACTGACGCCTTAAAATAGGGATGCACCAATGCCGTTTTTTCGATATATTTTTTTCGGTACTTGCCGATACCGAGTACAGATACCGGCATCCGTGGGCTGGATTATCAGGAAGCCGGTGTTCAACAGGCTTCACTTCCCTCTACACTGCGAGGCTGATGTGCTCACATGTGAGGCTGAGCATCCATGATTGAAAGACCTGAAATCCAAAGACAGGGACAGTCAGGTTGAGGAGGAAAGTGCTGGATAATGCTGGATGTCCTCCAGCCAGGAAATGAGTCGGGCTCTATGCCGACTTGCTGCAGCTTCTAATGTACATTGTGAGACGTTCCCAGTGTGCAGTAAGACATTTCAGTGAGCCGGTACAGCTGTGCAAGACTGAAGGGAAGGACGGAGGTCAGATAGAAGACTGAGGGGGAGGCCGGAGGTCAGATAGAAGACTGAGGGGGAGGCCGGAGGTCAGATAGAAGACTGAGGGGGAGGCCGGAGGTCAGATAGAAGACTGAGGGGGAGGCCGGAGGTCAGATAGAAGACTGAGGGGGAGGCCGGAGGTCAGATAGAAGACTGAGGGGGAGGCCGGAGGTCAGATAGAAGACTGAGGGGGAGGCCGGAGGTCAGATAGAAGACTGAGGGGGAGGCCGGAGGTCAGATAGAAGACTGAGGGGGAGGCCGGAGGTCAGATAGAAGACTGAGGGGGAGGCCGGAGGTCAGATAGAAGACTGAGGGGGAGGCCGGAGGTCAGATAGAAGACTGAGGGGGAGGCCGGAGGTCAGATAGAAGACTGAGGGGGAGGCCGGAGGTCAGATAGAAGACTGAGGGGGAGGCCGGAGGTCAGATAGAAGACTGAGGGGGAGGCCGGAGGTCAGATAGAAGACTGAGGGGGAGGCCGGAGGTCAGATAGAAGACTGAGGGGGAGGCCGGAGGTCAGATAGAAGACTGAGGGGGAGGCCGGAGGTCAGATAGAAGACTGAGGGGGAGGCCGGAGGTCAGATAGAAGACTGAGGGGGAGGCCGGAGGTCAGATAGAAGACTGAGGGGGAGGCCGGAGGTCAGATAGAAGACTGAGGGGGAGGCCGGAGGTCAGATAGAAGACTGAGGGGGAGGCCGGAGGTCAGATAGAAGACTGAGGGGGAGGCCGGAGGTCAGATAGAAGACTGAGGGGGAGGCCGGAGGTCAGATAGAAGACTGAGGGGGAGGCCGGAGGTCAGATAGAAGACTGAGGGGGAGGCCGGAGGTCAGATAGAAGACTGAGGGGGAGGCCGGAGGTCAGATATAAGGCTGAGGGGGAGGACGGAGATCAGATAGAAGACTGAATGGAAGCTTCACTGGAGGTCAGCTTGATTTTGTTGTTTTTATTCCTCACTGTGAACGCACGGTACACGCGTGTCATATGCATGGTATCCTCATCACATATGTACACATTAGCTCTAAGTCTATATGTAGGTGAACGTCATTGTATTAAAGTTTTCATTTGGCATTACAAAGAATAGCGATATAAAAATAAATAGATTTGGGGGTTTTGCGGAGTGAAGCCTCTCCTGGCGTTCTCCTTTGCTGCCGTGCCCTGGAGCTGCCTCGGAGTTCACCTCTTCCCACCATTGCGGTGCAAATCATTGGTGTTCTTCATCCCAGAAAAGCAAACAGAGGACCGGACAAACCAGTTCATGTAATACAATGGGATGATGTGAGTCTCCTCCGTCCCCTCTGCCTGGATCCTGACACCCTCCGCGTCACAGAATAGTACTGAGAGGTAATCATCGTCTTAAAGGTGAACCCCGGCCACAAAAACCTTATTTTAAAGCGGACTTTTCAGTACAATGCAAAGTCCGCTCCAATTTCCTCCCCCTTTACAAATCACTTACTTTGTGTGCTTTGCAAACCCAAATATTACATTGCAAATGTAGTGGTGGCATCATCGCTGTGCTGTACAGAGAAAATAACTGTAGGAGGGACCCAGCAGGCCCCACCCACTGCAGTCTGCCTTAAGAAAACTACAGGAGTGGGCGGAGACCAGACCAGTAACCCTGCACAAGGAGAGAGAAGCAGTGACCGGTCTTTATTACAGGAGGGGGCGGAGAAAAGACCAGTCACCCGGCACAAGGAGAGAGCGCAGCAGTGACCGGTCTTTATGACAGGAGGGGGCGGAGAAAAGACCAGTCACCCGGCACAAGGAGAGAGCGCAGCAGTGACCGGTCTTTATGACAGGAGGGGGCGGAGAAAAGACCAGTCACCCGGCACAAGGAGAGAGCGCAGCAGTGACCGGTCTTTATGACAGGAGGGGGCGGAGAAAAGACCAGTCACCCGGCACAAGGAGAGAGCGCAGCAGTGACCGGTCTTTATGACAGGAGGGGGCGGAGAAAAGACCAGTCACCCGGCACAAGGAGAGAGCGCAGCAGTGACCGGTCTTTATGACAGGAGGGGGCGGAGAAAAGACCAGTCACCCGGCACAAGGAGAGAGCGCAGCAGTGACCGGTCTTTATGACAGGAGGGGGCGGAGAAAAGACCAGTCACCCGGCACAAGGAGAGAGCGCAGCAGTGACCGGTCTTTATGACAGGAGGGGGCGGAGAAAAGACCAGTCACCCGGCACAAGGAGAGAGCGCAGCAGTGACCGGTCTTTATGACAGGAGGGGGCGGAGAAAAGACCAGTCACCCGGCACAAGGAGAGAGCGCAGCAGTGACCGGTCTTTATTACAGGAGGCAATGTAAGGAGTTCTTCCATGCACAGATACAGAAACACAAGGCTAAAAAAAAAAACAGCTGGGTATATATATTTTTCTTTCTTGGTATTTCATGGGTCCTCTATGCTGCTGGGCCCCATGGCATTCTCGTGTGCTGCTCTAATTATGATCTGCCCTGATACATGTAGTTCTCCTAAAATTTAGAGTTTGACCCCCTCTTTAGGACACATCTCTACCTGTTGTGTACCTGCGTAGTGGAGGCCTCTGCTATTATCATGATCAGGCAAAATAAGAGGTTCACTTGACAGCAAGCTCCACAATTAATCTAAATTTACTGTTCAGATGCTCATCACCCACCCCTGGAAATCTCTTCACAGCTGAAAATTTGCTTGGGGCTATTCTGAAAACCCCCAACCCCCGCCTTGCCCCTACATGAGAAGGCCTGGGCCTGACGATTGGACGCTTGGTCATCAAGCACTGCACTTCCTATAAGGAGGGAGGTTGGGCGGGGAATGGTGGCAGTGGATGGGGATTTAGTTGGGGGGTGTCACGTGATGCTGCATTCAGGTAATGAGTTTTCCAGGTGCTGTTGGGTGGATTGGGTTGGTTGGTGACCCAAAGCTTTATCCCAGCCATTCCACATTTTGGATGGATTTGGGAAGAATTAAAGTTTACTGTCAGATTTTTATCCGTGAGACAGCAAGGAAAGCTGACAGAGACTCCAACACATCTCCATCCTAAATTAAATTAAATATTTGGCTGGAGATGGTTAACTATAAGGCTGGGTTCACACCTAGGTGTATCGAATATGCGCGCTTGTCACACGTTTTTACCGCGATTCGCGGTAAAAAAAAACGCGGGACAAATGCGTGTTTCCGAGGGTTTCCTGGCTGTATCCGATGGATACGCGCGGCAAATACGCCCCAGAGAAGCTCCTGTACTTCTTTGAGCGTAGGGCGTTTTGTAGCGCGTTCATACGGCCTGTAATACGCCCAGGTGTGAACCATACCCATAGGAAATAAAGGGATTTCGGTGTTTGAGCGTTTTGCAGAGCGTAGGAACGCGCTACAACACGCACAGGTGTGAACCGGGCCTAAATTCTTTTGTGGAGCCTTCTACAAAGAGAACCTTTTAATTTGGGTAGCCCAGACAAAACTACAGGTTTAATTTAAATTATATTCGATTTGCGGACTGGTCATACTTTGTTTTAGTTAAGTAGTATAATGCTTCTTCTATATGCACCACAGCCAACATCAATGGGGAAGGGGGGCATTGTGCCTCCCCAAAATTAATTATGTCCTTCCCCTTACATATCCCACATATATTATTTCCTAATATAATTTCTTCCATGGTACAGGTGCCCATGAGAAAAGATACAATTCTCTCTTAGCATTTCAAGTTCTGAACCTCTGAGAGGTCTTCAGCCCACCTGTCTGTCCTCTCATGAGGTGTCACCTGAACATTCTGCAGGGTGGAAGTTCCCTTCCAGTAGGCTTGCTCTCCATTCCTCATTTATGTATATATGGGGCTATCATGTGTTAGATCAGTGGTCCCAAACTGTGGCCTGAGGGCTGTATGTGGCCCTTTGCTTGCCATTAACTGGCCCCTGAGGCACAATTTTTTCTGCTGACACTAACAATGGAGCACTATTTCTCCCACTGACACCAATGATGGGGAACTATTCCTCCCACTCCAACCTGCACCCAGTTTGAAATCTTCTGCCCCCATGTGCTCCAAGATGGAGACTCTCATAGTTTAGAGTTAGGACCGCACTATAAGAGGTGCCTTGGCGCGGCTGTGCGGCTTTCACATTTTCTGCAGAAGACGTGTATCCAAACCTCTGTCATTGTCCTTAGTGGTGAGACAAGTTTTTTTACATGCTGACTTGTGAGTGTCCCATGATGCCTTTCTACTGTCTACTATTCCTACCACTGACACCAATGATGGGGAACTATTCCTTCCACTGACACCAATGATGGGGAACTATTCCTTCCACTGACACCAATGATGGATCACTATTCCTCCCACTGACACCAATGATGGGGAACTATTCCTCCCACTGACACCAATGATGGGGAACTATTCCTCCCACTGACACCAATGATGGGGAACTATTCCTCCCACTGACACCAATGATGGGGAACTATTCCTCCCACTGACACCAATGATGGGGAACTATTCCTCCCACTGACACCAATGATGG